GCCATCTTAGAAATAACTTATGAAAATGTGGGCGGACTGTGGACTTGCTTTAAGGGCACAGTAATAATCAACTTAATTACACAATCAATAAGCAAAAATGGATGGGAATGCCAGATGTTCGAGCGAAATTGTTGTTTACAACCTGAGAATAGAATTCAGAGTGATTTAAGGTATTAAATAACAATTTTCAATCAAAACACCACAGGGTCCCCAGCAGGTGAAATTTACAATAATGAAATCCTGTTTAGCACGCTTCAGTGGAATATTTGCATTGGGCACCCCCTCTAATATTCATGGTACTGCAATAAGCTATCGCTGTGCGAAGTTTGGTGCTTTTGTCAACTCTGTAACGATCCTGACGCTAAGAGACCTGACTATTTACGGAATTGTAAACTGCAAAGCTAACGAAATCTCTGATACCCACCGAACCTGATAATGAGCAAAATGGCTCAACAACACCCAACACTACCAAATAAATGTTCGAAGCGAACCAGTCATTTCGGATTAATTTTGAAAATTTTGTGAAAATAGTCCATGTCCACATCCGTTGATTTCTACAGGCAAGGTGACTGTACATGAAAAAGCAAAATATCTGAAAAGGTGACCACCACAGTCGAACTTCTATGTAAAGTAAAAAGTTGGGCCAGGCGAAAATGGAAGAAGTCGAAGAAACAGGAGGGTAAATGTACTCTCCAGCATAATCAAATCTAAAAAAGGATAGTCCTCCAGCAGACAAACCCACCGGAAGAGCTGCTAAAACAAGAATCAGATACCCAAAGCCTATCGCTGCTTTGTCACAAACACTGTCGTATTTTTTGACACAGCCACTTCCTCGAGGACAATGTTTGACATCATGAGAGTCATTGCTTACGGCACTTAGTAGGAGTTGTTCTTCAGCAGGTCTTTCTCGACATGCTGATCGTTGTACTGGCTCCCCAGTTCTGTTTTCGCCTTCTTCCATAGCTCGAATGTCTCTTTCAGCATCGGTCTCGACTTGGTTCTCCGCTTCAGGCTCTAATGGATTTTCACATCTTTCATGTCGTCCGGAATGCCAACAGAATTTCTTTGTCCGTCTCATCCACTCGAGTGTGATGATTGGCCCCAGAAGAAACCAGTAGTAAAGGTTTGCTAAGTAAGAATTCATTGCATTCAGTTCTTTTGATGACGGTCTTAAAATTTGTACGCTGATTTCCATATTGGTTCTATCTGCGTTTGTTAACAAAAACGCACACCGACGATCATAGATCTTAGCCTGAACTTCTAAAACCGGGATCAATAATATCTCTTTACTTGGCACATATATTGCGGTTGTATTGGCAGAGTATCCGACGTATATAAGAACAGAATACCCTGCTCTCTGAGCTTCTAGCGCCAAGTCTTGCAGTGGACAAGCAGTTTCATCTTCGAGTTGAAAGTTGAGTGTCGAAGTTATTGCCAGTCCGGAAAAACGCAGCTCTCTGCCCTCGTCGGTAATTGATGCTTGGATAAAGGATTCCGGAGAAGGTCCTGTTGTGTATTAGGACCCAGACTCCCTCTCGGTAGGACATTGTAACGCCTGACTAGGGAATCAGGAGCCACGAGTCGTGTAGGCGAAATAAAGCCATCGTCCAAGGTTGAATCCGTTGTAATCTTCCATTATTTGCCGACCAGATCGGTCACAACATTGGCGACGAGGGTAAAACAAGATCCCAAGAAGTCAGCGAGACGAACAGTTCGCGAGAAACATGGACGATAATGAACGAAACCATATCAAAACATTCGACTGTCATGGGGACCAAAACACGCTTGGCTTGCGATGGAAACGGTGGCTGACAGCTTTCGAACTATTTGCAGATGGCAAAGGCTTAATTCTAAATGAAGACAACGCGAACAACAGGCAGAGGAGACGTGCATTAATGCTCCATCTCGCGGGACCCGATGTTCAAGATATTTTCCTTACCCTGCCGAACACGGGAGATGTGAAAGATTACCGGAAAGCGGTCGATGCACTGAACGCATACTTCGCTCCCAAAGTCGACACTACGTATGCTAGACACTGTTTCAGACAGCTAATTCAAGCACCAGGGGAAACAATCCGACAGTTTGCAACCAGACTCCGACGAGCATCGAAAGATTGTGACTATGGCGAAGATACAGATAACCAAATTCGTGATGAAATCCTCTGCAAGTGCACCAGCACGTACATAAAACGAAAACTCCTGGAAGAACGTCAAGGCCTCACTTTAGCTAGAGCGCTTGAAATCGCCCAGAACTGCGAAAAAGTCGACGCA